AGCCACACGAGCGGAATCCTTTCGGAGACCCACAGAGAGTTCTCCTGAAGTACCGCTCTCCTACTACAGTCTTTCAAACTTCTATCACCTATCGACTACGGTCCTCCCGACCTCCATCGCCTACTATGATCACTCCGACCTCCATCACCAGACAACGGTCTTTCAGACCCTAGTCTCCTGCCGACTACGGTCCTCCCAAACTCCGTCGCCTGCTACGATCACTCTGACCTCCATCACCAGACAACGGTCTTTCAGACCCCAGTCTCCTGCCGACTACGGTCCTCCCAACCTCCGTCGCCTGCTACGGTCACTCCAACCTCCATCACCAGACAACGATCTTTCAGACCCCGGTCTCCTGCCAACTACGGTCCTTCCGACCTCCATCACCAGACAACGGTCTTTCAGATACCGGTCTCTTATTGACTACGGTCCTTCCGACCTCTGTCGCCTACTATGGTCCTTCCGACCTCCATCAACAGACAACAATCTTTCTGATCCTAGTCTCCTGTTGACTACGATCCTTCTGACCTCTATCTCTTGCCGACAATGGTCTTTCCGACCAAATAAACATGGCTATGTTGATTATTGTAACTCCCACTATGTAATGCGCTCTATATGACATACATTTATAACATCAGGCCAAGGTCTTCTCCCTAAGAAGGACCTCATTTGTAATCAACTGCAAATACTAGTGGATTCATTCAAACTGGGCCAGGCCCCGTGATTTTCCCCCTTTTTAGGGGTTTCCACGTAAAAACTCTGGTGTCTCTTATAAATGCTACACCCTCTCTCACATATCTACTTTTGTGCTGGATCTTCGTACAACGCTAAGACGCTAAACTTTATAATTCTCTACCGTCGCGAATACTCTAGGACGCAACATTTGAATGCTCTAAGCTATTTCCTAATTTACGCCCAGTTGAACCTTTGGCTCTGCCACCGCTGATTTCTGTGTCTAATCCTTTACCGAATTTTAATATTCATGTTATCTCTTCTATCCCCAATTCTCCTTTGTGTGAGGTAGTTTCAGGTAATGGTGATGTTATTCTGGTTGTTGGTGATTTGAATTGTGATATTGATATTAATGTTGTGAAGGGTGCTGTTTTACCCTCTGTTGAAGCTTCGGTTCCTTCCCCTGCATTTTTTGGATCACCTATTACGTTGGATAATTTGGATGTGTTGAGGGGTAACGTGCTATCTGAATTTGGTGCTGGGGTTTTTTCGGCCTCTGATGGTAATGCTGTGGTTGTTTTCCCTGTTTTACTGGTTACTGA